GAAAATCATAAGTGGTTCATGATTTTCAAAAATGATCATACCAAACGGGCTTCGCGCGCGCATGCCGAAATCTTTGGAACGCCCTTGCGCGCGTGCCGTCGCGAGAATCCTCTGCAAAAAAGGCGGAGTGCAGATGCGCGCGTCGTCGCGCGCGCATGCCGAAATCCTTCAAAAACCGTAGGTTTCGGAAAAATGACAAAATCGTGTGTCCAAAAAACATACAAACGCACAAAGCTTCGCCACACGGATTCTCAACAAAAGCGCGCGCGCGCGCTCTTGCGTCGTCGTCGTCGTCATCGCCGTCCTCCCTCCTCCCTCGTCGTCGTCATCGCCGTCGTCGTCCTCTGTCTTTCCTCGTTGTCGTCGTCGTCGTCTTGGCGTCGTCGTCGTTTCCGTCGTCGTTGTCGCCGTGGTCGTCCTTCCACCCTCGTCGTCTTCGTCGGCGTTTCGTCGCTGTCCCACCTATTTCGTCGCCATCGTCGTCGTCGTCGTCCTCCTCCTCCCTCCTCCCTCGTCGTTGTCGTCGTCGCCGTCGTCGTCCTCCCTCCTCCCTCGTCGTCGTCGTCGTCTTCGTTGGCGACGTCGTCGTCGTCGTCTTCGTCGTCGCCGTCGTCGTCGTGGTCGTTGTCGTCGTCGGCGTCGTCGTCGTCGTCATCGGCGGCGGCGGCGTCGTCGTCGGCGTTGTCATCGTCGTCGTCGTCGTCGTCGTCGTCAGCGTCGGCGTCGTCGTCGTCGGTGTTGTTGTCGTCGTCGTCGTCGTTGTCGTCGTCGTCGAAGTCGTTGAAGACGCCGTCGGTGTCGTCGTTGTCGTCGTCGGCGGCGTCGTCGTCGTCGTTGCCGCTGTCGTCGTCGGCGTCGGTGTCGTTGCCAAGTGCCATTTGGTACCCACCGTCACGGTCTTAAGAGGTCTTGCGACCAAGTGGCGGGTGGGAGGGTGGGATGTTTGCACGAGCAGCGGAGAGGACAGCTTCAAGTTGAGCAAGTGATTGGTTGCACCATATAAATTCTCCGTTCTAAAAAAAATAGACTCTACCCCCCCCCGGACTTAACGCTTCCCCCTGGGATAGTATAATCCCACCAGCCCTTTAGGGCGTCGGTGGTTTAACGAGTTTCCTCTTCCACCCCTCTTTCTTCCCCTTCGGGGAGGGATTTACCCCTCCCCCTACCCCCTCCCCACTGACCTGGACAGGGGGGGCCGCGATCGGTCAGAGCGTCCAAGATCGACCCCTGGGAGGGCTAAAATTCGACACCCCTCACGAGGATCGTGGCTCCTGAGGGGGGGGGGGGCTGAAATTTAGGACCCCCCCTTCGTTGATCGATCTCCTCCAAGATGGCTCCGACAGACGTCTTGGACCCCCTCTTGGGCCCTGCGCGCGGGCGGGCGGAGCGCCGCCCGCCCGCCCGCAAGGCCCAAGAGCCCACCAAAACGTTCGAAGATACTTCCAAGACGCCACCAGGGAAGAGGAAGATGAGGAGGAAGAGGAGGAGGCGGAGGAGGAGGAGGAGCAGGAGGTGAGGCAGGAGGAGAAGAGGAGGAGGAGAAGGCGGAGGAGGAGGAAGAGGGGGAGGAGAACAGCTGCCGATCATCGGCGCTCTTCGTTCGAGCGCCTGGTGTAGGATGGGCTGGTGGGGATACGCGAAGCGTCAAGAATTTCATACACACATATATACATATATATATGTATTATTCTGCACAATCGTCCATCCTAAATATGAAATCACAACATCCCAGCCACACCGGTATCCCCCCCTGAGGTCCCTTTGTAAAAAAAAAAAAAAAAAAAAAAAAAAAAAAAAAAAAAAAAAAAAAAAAAAAAAAAAAAAAAAAAAAAAAAAAAAAAAAAAAAAAAAAAAAAAACTATGCGGTAACATATTTTGTTCTGACATAACACTTGTTCACGAATCCCTTGCAAAAATTGTACGAAGTGCACACGCGCGCGTCGTCGCGCGCGCATGCCGAAATCCTTCAAAAACCTTCGGTGACAGAAAGATTTCGCAATCGAGTTTCCAAAAAACATACCAAAACACGGGGCTTCGAAACACTGATTTGCTAAAAAAGCGTCCGCGCGAGCTCTTGCGAAATCTTAAGAAACCATAGGTTGTTCATGATTTTCACAAAATGCTACCAAACGGGCGTCCCGCACGCGCATGTCGAAATCTGTCGAACGCCCTTGCGCGTGTGCCGTCGCGGGAATCCTCTGCAAAAAATGGGACGAAGTGCAGACGCGCGAGTCGTCGCGCGCGTACGCCGAAATCCTTCAAAACCCATCGGTGTCGGAAGGAGTTCGAAATCGCGCGCCCGAAAAACCTACAAAAAAAACCCAAGGTTTCGCAACACGGATTTTCAACAAAATCGTGCGAGCGCGTTCTTGCGTCGTCGTCGTCGTCGTCGCCGTCCTCCCTCCTCCCGCGTCGTCGTCGTCGTCGCCTACGTCGTCCTGTCTTTTCTCGTGTTTGTCGTCGTCGTCCTCTTTGGCGTCGTGGTCGTTTCCGTCGTCGTTGTCGCCGTGGTCGTCTTTCCTCCTCCTCCCACGTCGTCGTCGTCGTCCGTCGTCGGCGTCTCGTCGTCGTCCCTCCTATTTCGTCGCCGTCGCCGTCGTCGTTGTCGTCGTCGTCTTCCCTCCTCCCTCGTCGTTGTCGTCGTCGGCGTCGCCGTCCTTCCTCCTTCGTCGTCGTTCGCGTCGTCGTCGTCCTCCATCCTCCCTCGTCGTTGTCGTCGTTGTCGTCGTTGTCGCCGTCGTCGTCCTTCCTCCTCCCTCGTCGTCGCCTTCGTTGGCGTCGTCGTCGTCTTCGTCGTCGTCGGCGTCGGCGTCGTTGTCGTCGTCGAAGTTGTCGGAGACGTTGTCGGTGTCTTCCTAGTCGTTGTCGTCGGTGTCGTCGTAGTCGGTCTGAACAGGTTTTGCAAACCAAGTTGCGGGTGGGTGGGTGGGATGTTTGCACGAGCAGTGGAGAGGACAGCTTCAGGACAGTCAAAGTGGATTGCACCACTTAGATTCTTGCAGCACACAGTTTGGGGTTCACGCTGGCCAACATTCAATTTAGATGTTTCAGTCCCGCGAGTGCGGAATGGAAACGTTCAATTCTGGATTTGAGCTGAATCTGGTACCTCGGAAATACAAGATTCCCATGTGGGCCTTGAGCGGACCCAGTCCCACTTCTCCATTCGCACTCCCCTTCCTCATCCTTCCCCTCTCGTCCTCCTCCTCCTACTCCTCCTCCTCCTCGTCCTCCTCCTCCTCCTTCTCCTCTTCCTCCTCTTCCTCCTCCTCCTCCTCTTACTATTATTCGTATTATCCTTCTTCATATTATGATTATAAGATGTCTCCTTATTATTATACTTATATTTACTAGTATGATCATCGTTATCATTATGAATGTACCATTGTTATTATTAGTATGACTACCATTAGTACTAATGGTTCACTTCTTCGTGTTATTATTATTCTTAGTGTTCTGCTTCGTGTTACTATGTTCCGGTTTCGTAGTAGTGTTGGTATTGTTATTTTTTGTTATTAGCAGTATCATCGTTATTATTATGATTATGATGTTGCGTATTAGTAGTGGTGTTGTTACTATTATTGTTTATCAGTATTGTTATCAAGATGGTCATTGTGTTATTATTGTTAGTATTACTTGTATGGTTATGTTGTTTTCGTCTGGTTACTCTCATCATTCTTACTAGTATGATGCGTCTTATTATTGTTCGCCTTCTTATTATATTCTTATTATTACTAAAATTAGTATCATGTTCCTTCTTTTTATTATTATTATTATTACTATTCGTCTTCTTCTTATAATTCCTCCTCCTCCTCCTCCTCCTCCTCCTCCTCCTCCTCTTCCTCCTCCTCCTCCTCGCCCTCGCAAGCGCGCGGGGCGCAACCGTGTGCCAGGCAGGCGCCGACGCCGCCGCCGCCGCCGACGACGACGACGACGACAACGACGACGAGGACGACCCGCGGCGAGGCGGCGGCGGCGGCGAGGCGACGGCCGGCCCGCGAGGCGCGCCGAAGACGGCCCAGGGACCCCCAAGACGGCGAAAGAGCTCTCAGGAAGGCCCCCAGGGGGGCCCAAGAAGAGAGGCCCAAGAAGGGCCCAAGAAGAGAAGGGCCCAAGAAGAGAGGCCCAAGGGGCCCAAGAAGGGCCCAAGAAGAGAGGCCCAAGAAGGGCCCAAGAAGGGCTCTCAGGAAGGCCCCAAGGGGGACCCCCGAGACGGCGAAAGAGCTCTCGGGAAGGCCCCAAGGTAGGAGGCCTGGAAATGGGCACCAACACCAACACAGGGTGCTGCCTCCACAGGGGGAAGGTGATCCTGGATTTCGGTGCTGGTGGTAATGTTTCGGCCACCTTGGAAGCCAGAATATCACCACCATCACCGGGATCGGGATCTTCCTCCCCAGGTGGAAGCAAACTGCCGATACTGGTGCTGGTGTCAACCTCTGGGCCTGCGACAAGGGGGGGCCCAAGAAGAGAGGCCCAAGAGGGGGAGCCGCACGCCTCGAGGGCAGGGGTCCTTCACGAGAGGCCGTGGCTGCGTGGGCCAAGCATGCAGCTGGCGCGGAGGCGAAGGAACGTCTTCGGCGAGACCGCCGCCGACCCGCCTGAGGGCCAGGCTGCCTTGGGCCGCCCCCCCCTGTGGGACTCTTCTGCGGTCCTCCCCTGGCAACCCAGCCCCTGGGCCCAGGAGGCTTCCGGGGGCCTCGAAACATCTCCAAGGGGCCCCCCGAAGCCTCCAAGCTGGCCCGCCGGCAGCGGCAGCAGCAGCGACGGCGACGACGACGACGACGACGACGACGACGACGGCGGCGACCGACGAAGACGACGGCGACGACGACGACGACGACGACGAAGACGAAGACGACGGCGGCGACCGACGAAGACGACGACGAAGACGACGACGATGACGAAGACGACGACGACGACGACGACGACGACGAAGACGACGACGATGACGACGGCGACGACGACGACGACGACGACGACGCCGAGAGGCCGCAGTCCGAGGCCTGCCCAGCGGCACGAAATCGCTGAGCCGGCTGGGTGGCGCGCTGGCGCCGCGGTCCGAAGCCTCCGTGGGCGGCCTCTCGGGCGGCTCGGCGTCGTGCTCCCAGACCTGCAGGGAGGAGGAGGAGGGGGAGGAGGAGGGGGAGGAGGAGCAGGAGGAGGCGGAGGAGGAGAAGGAGGAGGAGGAGGAGGGGGAGGATGAGGAGGAGGAGGAGGAGGAGGAGGAGGAGGAGAAGGAGGAAGCGGAGGAGGCGGAGGAGGAGGATGAGAAGGAGGAGGAGGAGGAGGAGGAGTGTGCGTGTGCGTGTGCGTGTGCGATTTCCCCGAGTTGCGCGACGCAGCTCACCGAGGTCACTTGGAGTTCCGCGGGGTGGCGCTCGGGTCCCTTTTGGGCCGACGCGTGACCGGCTTACCACTTACGCCACCCGCGGAGCTGAGACAGATCAGACTTGCAGGAAGGCATGCACATCAGCATTCTCTTGCGGCGAGAGGGCGACCGCAGGACCCTCACACAGTTTTTGTTGTTTGATTCGCGGGTCGAGAGCGCACGCAGGACCCTCACACAGGCGCTGGCTACTGTAAGGATGCTGGCCCTGCAGTAGCTTGCCTCGTCTGCACCTGGCCTGGAAGTTGGCAGGCTTACCCTCACAAGTCTGAAAGATCTTCTGAACCCTGCCGCTCGAGAGGGCCCCACAATTGCCAAAAAAACAGGAAGCTGCCAGCGCTCGAGAACACGCGTCGGCGCAACGGCGGCTGCTGGGGGGGCCGCCCTCGGGGCGGGCGAAAAAAACGGACATCCCTCGCGGGCGCCCGTGGAAGGCTTCCCGGCCCCTCAAGGCGCGGGCATGCCTTCCGCAGCCCCAGCTGACACCGCCCGGCCCTTCCCCCCCCAGGGGAGGGGGGGAGGGGAGGTCCCAGGGGGAGGCCCAGCACGACCCCGCCGCCTCTCCCGCGCCCCCATCCTCTGGTTATGCCAGCCAGTGGCGCCCAGCGAGCATGGCCACGCTGGCCACAACACTGCATGCACGACGAGCACCGCCCGAACGCTCCTGCCAGACTTTCTTTAGCCCGGCGGGGAGGTCATCGACCGCAGCTCCAGATTTGGCCTCGTGGTCGGCGTGGGCGTTCCCGATGACGTCGAACCGTTCGAGGCCTTCGAGGACCGCCGGATCACGGCCCGAGCGGGCCTTGACCTTCACAGCATCGAGCGCCACTGGACCCGAGAAAGAAGCACTAACGAGGTCCCAAATCTGCCTCCAACGGTCCGCATGGGGCCTGCGGCGCTCGGTGCACCAGGCCTCCCCACGCTGGAACCTTTTGCACATTGTAGAACTGCCGACCCCTGCTCGGAGCGGCCGACAGCCGTGGCGCGACGGAGGGCCAAGTCCAGAGTCATCAGAACACGCATACCCCGAAAGGACGGGGTCGTCGCCGAGTTCAGGATTGACGACGCCGCGATGCCCTTGCACCCGCTGGACGGGGTTCATCGACGGGGTGGGCCGTAATAAGGCCCCGGGTGGAAAGGAGAAAGGAATCGGAGGAAGCCTTCGCCCTCTGCACTGTCGCCGGGACTTCCCCACCCGACTCGTCGCGAGCGGCGTCGAGCCCAGGGCGCCCGCAGAAGCGATGGCGCCGCGTGTCCCGAGGCGCCCGGCACAGCTGGCACTCGCGAGATTCGCTGCGCCCAGCCTTCCAACCATTTTCCTGGGTCTAAAACGATCTATAAACAAACGCAATGATCGCCTGCTGGCGGCCCAGGTTGTTCCTACGCTGGCGGAGGGCGGCACGGATTGGTTCCAAAAACGCGCAAACAAAATCGAGGCCCCTCTCCGCAGCCCTAGACGTGAGTTCCAGGATGTCAATCCAGTGACCACCAGGGTCTCCAGGCTCATCGGGGCAAGCCTCCTAAGACCCAGGAGGTTCCCAGAATGAACGAGGAACGTGCGGCATGTTGGCCAGCCCCGCCCTGGGCGCTGCAAGGTAGCGAGCACGGCCGATGCTGGCCCACACACTTGCCGCCAGCGATTCGCGACAGGCTTGGCGGTCAGTTTATTACGAGCCTGCTTCCAGCCTACTCCAAGGTCAACTAGGGCCTCGTCATCGAAGACGGCGGAAGCCCATTGGAACAGAGGTGCAAGACATGCGCTGATGACGGGGTCGACAAGGCGCAGCCACAACCGAAGGGCCCTGTCCTTCCCGATCGCGGCGGCCCCGAGACTACCCGCCACCGACAGTCTGGCACGGCTGAATCTACTGGAGCCCATGCCAAAGCAAGCGGAGCCGCAAGCGAGGGAGGGGGCGAGACCGCACCGAACGACCTTGCCCACTCGCGCCCCTTGCTTGGCGTAGGCGATGATCTTGCGCCGACGCACGTGGGCAACTTGCTCTCTCCCCCATATACGCCCTCGGACTCGCAGATGCCCGCCTCCAGCGCCATCAACACCCTGCTGCTCGCCGTGCTGTTAAAAGCCCAAGACGGGCCGCCCAGCGCCGGCAAGCTTGGCGGGCGGCAGTGGCAGCGGCAAGGACGACCCCCTTGCCGGCAAAGCCTTTTGCGGCCACGGAGAGGGGGGCCAGGTCCGAAATCGGGACCTCTTTTAGGCCCAGACCCCTCCCAAGGGGCTCAACGTTGCCGCCCACGGGCTCGAGCGGCCGACGGCGTGAAACAGGAGCGCCGTCACTCTCGATCTGCATGATATCATAGTCGGTGGCGTCGCCGAGCTCCTCGGCAACTGCGCGGCGGTCCGCGAGCCGCTAGAGGCCCAACTCCTCGACGCAGAATTCGACGAGGATGCGCGGCCAGCGCGCCGCGAGACTGTCGACCACCAGCACCACCACCATCTCGAGCGCCCTGGCGCCCCCCGACAAGCCAGCGTCCACCGCGGAGTAGGCAGCCCCCGCCAACGCGCTGACAACGCCGCAGAAGCCGACATAGCGCTCGCACGCGTAGATCGGGATCTCCATCTCGAGCAGCCGCTTGAGGAAGGAGACTTCGTCCGCGACCCCCGAGCTTGCACGCGGCGGCGCGCTCGAAGGCGCGCCCCAGGCCCGGCGCGCCCGCGGCCGCGGCGCAGCGCCAGCGCCCTCGTCGACGAGCACATGGCGCCAGATTGCCTCCCCGGCGCCACCACCTGGAGCAGCCGCGCCACGCGGCCGTCCGACGAGGATCTCCCACGCGCGGAAGAGGGACGCACGAGCCCGTTCCGCCACTCGAATGGGCGCAGGGAGCAGGCCCAGGGGCCCGGCCCCCCCCCCTCGGCTTCGAGGTCAGGAAATGCCTGAGAAACCGCCGCTGAGGTGGCCGACGGGCTCGGCGCGAGACGCAGTGCAGAATGTCGATCATGCGCTACACCGCATCGTCGGACAGCCAACTCCGACAGGGCGGGTGCCAATTGTCCGCGCCCATCCCCGCGCTGGGCGAGAAGGCGCGGCGCGTCTCTTTTAACTTCGCTGGCGCGAGATCACCCATCACGTTTTCATCATAATCCATGCGCCCCCAGGGCAGGTCAGGGATGCCGGCGCTGATGCCCCCATGGATAGCCCGGACATCAAGCCCGCCCTTGGCTTCCGCGCCGGCGGCCTGCCGCGGGCCCCCAAACTGGTGGGCGGCGCCGCCCGCATCGGCAACAGGCTCGGGGGGCGTTTGCCACAGCCGACGCCTGAACCTCGCGCTGCAACTCCATGACCGGCCGAATGTCCTGCTCGAGCGCGCCCCTGGTCAGGCCACAGTCCAAGAAGGCGACAATACGCCGTCGCACCTCCACGGCCCCCTTGCCCAGCAGAGCGAACTAGCGCCCCGCGACGCTGCGGGCCCTGCGGCAGAAGCGGTTCAAAGTAGACGCTGTCCATCGCCAGCTGCGCGAGGCCGCCGCCGCCCGCGGTCGCGCGCGCGGCCGCGGGCCCGCCGGCGGAAGGCAAATCCACCTGGGGCAGTCGCCTCGGCCGCAAAAATCCTCTCCACGGCCATGGCTACAGAATCCAACAAGCTCACGCCCTGCCAACTGAGAGGAGAGCCGCCACCCGTGAAACATACCCCCAGCGGCCAAGGTCGACAGCGACTCCGAATTTTGGCCACCGAGGCGGCGGCGACGGGCACCCCACGGGCAACTCCACGGGGAAGGGCCTGGGGCGGGCCGATCGCAAGCCGCGCTCGACGCGGACGCGCGCGTCGAGCGCGACCTGCACAAGCAAACGCGGGCAGGTCGAGCTGTCCAGGACCGTAGCCTCCCCGCATGCAGCAGCAGTCGAACGGTCGACAATGAAGAAATCGAGCGCCCTGCAGCCGCCGAGCCCCGCGCGCGCAACCTGCCTCGGCACCGGGGGCGCCCCCGCAACGTCCTCGAGCCAGCCCGCGCCTTCCAGCGCGCCCACGACGTTCCGGAAGTCAGCCTGCCGAATCCACGGCATCCCGCAAGACGCGATGAGATCTCCCATCGTTTAAGTAAAGACAAATGCCTGATTGCCCATCCTTCGCTCGTTCACAGATATGCGGACACAGATCCTGATCCCGTCTAGCTGCCCAGCTGGGGCCCACCCAGCTGCGATCCTTCCTGGCTGGCGACCCTGGCGGCGAGCAACCAAAGCCACGCCTGCCATCTGGGACCGAGACGCCAATGGCGCGCGGCACGAGCGGGCCCACCCCCGCGCTTTGCCCTCCACCAGCACCCCCTGTGGATGGGGGCGCAGGCGACGACGAGGTCACGCTGGCAGCGTGCCGCCCCCATTTCCTGACACCAGTCGGGGGAGCAACACGGCTTCTGCAAGACGAGGATGCGGTAGTCTGCCAGGTCGCCAGCCTCGTCAACGCAGTCGATGGCACACGACCAGGCGTTAGCATTCAAACCAATCAGCTGCAGCCCTGGCTCCTGGCGAGGCTGCCGGCCTCAGCGGCCCACGGCGGCGCCACGCGCGTAGCGGGCCCGCGGGGGGCCGCCTCCGCCGCCGCCTCCGCCTCCGCCAGCTGTGGCGGCGGCCTGCTGCGGAGCTGCCTGAGCCCGGGGCC